ATTTTTCTCTCTTCGAAATAATGCTTGCACAATCTATATGACGACAATGTGCCAACACACAAAGTGATTGTGTGACTCCGGGTCTTTTTCAATGCTGGATTTTTGTGTTGTTTTGCACAAGTGAGCAAATATTGTCTATTCGCATGTGAACCGAAAACACATCAAAAGAAATCATTGCCATTATCATCATATTGTATATTTTTGTGAATAAAATATTAAAATCCCCGAACAGCAAGCGAACAAACACATTAAAAAGCATTTTCAAAATGATGTGCCATGAATTTGTGCAAAAGTCTAAGTTTTTCGTGTCTTTTATCGAAACAATAAGACGATCTCGACGAAAAACCATTGACACGTACAGCGCTGAACTGTTTCGGTGTGATAATGTCACAAATGGATTACAATTATTATATTTCAGTTTTTCGTTGGTTGTCATTTCGAAAAACTGGTGTATGGGTGTATGTCGGTTTTATCAAAAAATGAAATTCCAAGCATTTTCTGCATTTTGTGAATATTTTCGACGTTCGTGAAGCGCAAAAAATTAATAAAGTTCAAATATTAAAAGGACTTCAATACCATTAGACTTACAATTGTATGCAACACATCACGAATCTACGGCACTACGAGCGTATCAAATTTACCGTTTGAATTACGTTTGGTACGTTTAATAACTATAATTTTTGTGTATATGTTCATTCACTGAAGCTTATTTAAAGAACTTTTTACCCAAATGATTTTGCTAGTAGCGTTTCGCATACCTAAACCTTTAGAAGATTTGAATGGTTTTCTGCAAATACACAATTGTCTGCGAATTGAATATGAATTTTTTTTGCAGTGTACTAACTACAAGTTTGGTAACTGGAGACAATAACAAAATCTTACTAAATTTAATTTAAATCAGTTATAATACAAAATCGTCAGAATTGCATTTAATTGAATTTCGTGAACATGTTTTCTTATTAGGTGTCAAGTATTTCATATCAGTCCAGAAAGTACAAAGTAGACACATAAAATTTGCGAATATAAAAACTGCACTGTATATATACATCATCTGAAAATGTCAGTAAACGGTAGATTTTGTGGTGAAGATTAAGTATCTTCGGTGTTTAGACTATAAATGGATTATTTTACTTGCATAAAATGCAATCAAATGGAATTATACGCAGTGGCAATAACAGCAAAACAGTGCCGGAATGAAAAATATAGGGTTTCATTTAATATGAGCATGGTGGTGAGCAATGATAACATGTGTTTCTATGGATTTGTAAAGTAACCGCTAGGTTGCAAATAGTTCATTGAACTTGTTTATTATCACCGCCATCAAATACAGTGCAAACCATGAAATTCGTACAATACCAACACATTGCTGACAACTGGTATCCGAATTCCGTTGCGATACGATACAGTTAGGTTTGTCTGTATTTTGTTCGAAATGTCAACACATTAACCCTTTATTTTGAGCCAACGATGCACACATACACACATATTTCATATCCGTATGTGGTGATTTCAAGCTCTTGCATTCAAAACGCATTCACCAGAAACAGAAGCAATGATTAAGGAACGAACAAAATGAATGAAAAAATCCATTAAATATTTTATCCGACTGTTATGGAACGCGGATTGGAGCACATCTTTTTTTTTTGCTCAAGATGTATGCTTACGCACTTTTGTCTTTTGTTTCATTTGCAGCGTTGATATGTAATTAGATGCAGCCCTCAGCCATTTATGATTCTTGGATCTTTTTCTGTTGCAGTATGCATGTCAGTTTATTGCTCGCGTTCCAGTAAAGTGTGTATATTGTTTTGTTTCATCTTTACGGTGATTGATAGAATTGCGTGAGTGGATGGATAAAAACATGTATATCGGCGAATGGATTTTGAGATAGAAAAAACTCTTTACGCCAAACAACACACATAAAATGCGTGCGGATTGAAGATCTGCGGGGGAAAAAATCTCTCCAACCTATCAATTGGAAGAGAATCAACGAAACAAGGACGGTGCGCCCATTATATCACGGTATTGCAAACAACGTGACATATTTATAAAAAGAAAATGTACCATTTCAATAATTTCAATACACACACATAGAGAAAACATTTCTGCTATGAATTTTATGGCCGAAGAAAAAGATGAACAAAAAAGCGGGAGCTCTTTTGCGTGCAGTTTTTTATTTTTCATTCAACAATAATGATATTGGAATGGTGAAAAAAATGGTGAAATACTGGTACTTCAAACATCAAAATCTTCAGGGACAACAGTGAAGTAGGAACGAGTGAAGCGGATTTTCATCATCATCGTCATCCGTGTTTTGCATGAGGGTTGATGCACTGCCTGACATATAGCGCGTATTCGAGCGTTAATTGAAAATATTTAAGAATATGACATATTAGGGGAACATTTTGCCACTGATTTTTGTTGTTGTACAACAACGATAGCGACAATTTCCACATTTTTGCAATGACAACGTCATTCCAATTAAATCATCTGCATCCGAGAAAAATAACCTTTGCTTGTGAACGGTTTCTGGCAAACGAGCAAGCATTTTTTTTTTGCATTTGGTTTACATTGAATAGCATACAATGTGAGATACGCAGTTTTGCGTATGGTCTTCTTTCTCTATACAGGATTATGTGGCCCACTTACCCACTGACATCATATTACTCCTTATTTCTTCTCTTCTTCACAGAGTTTAGATGAAACAGAAAAAAATGGCAACGATGCGCTGCATACAAAACGACAGAGACGAATTCAAAAGAAGAACGGCTTTTGTTTACGTTTCACAGAACAATGGCATGTCGGAAACAAAAAAAAGCAAATGTGCGTTTGTGTACAAACGCAAATTAATTGCAATGTGTGTATGTCCTTTCCGAAACCGTTGCAATATTAACATGGGGCGACAATAAACATTGATGATGCTACTGGTGTGACACAATAGCGGCGAATGAATTTGCACTTGGAATTCCCGATCGAAGTAGAACGAACAAGCGAGCAAGAAAAAATTGTAAAATCCTTTTATCCAAGCATTTTGCATCGATTGTGAATTGAATTCTCTTAGTGTCAATGTTCTCTATAGGTCTGTGTGTTTGTGAAAAGAAAAGAAAAAAAGCCACATACTCGTTTGCAAAAAGTTCTATAAGAAAGAAAAAAATTCGAAGTACTTTGCATAAAATGAAAAGGGGCACAATGATGTGTTTTAAAAATGGGTTAACGAACGATTTCTAATATATATTCGAATGTGTATGTGCGTGTGTATAATATTCTGTCATTTATACTAAAAGGACTACTCGGATTTTCTTTTATTCAATATGTGCGAGAAACGCATACAAACGAGTGGAGATTTTGCACAAATGCGATGAAATTGCCGCTTTAGGGTTTATAATTCCATATCCTTAGCACAAATAAATCGAACAAGAAAAAAACTGCCTATAGAATTCGTTCTTCTTCTTAGTCGTTTTTTTTTTTTTGCAAAATAGTGTTAGTCATTCTAAACCGTTATCTCACGCATTTTTCAAAAGGAATAAAATATAATAAGACGAAGGGAAAAAATGTTGTTTGCTAAAGAGAAAACACGCACACGTGTCTCATACTCTTTCGGACCAAGCCATCTGCTACGATGTATTTAAAACGAATTTGCATTTCAACAAGTAAGTAACCAAAGTGCGTATATTGTCTTTGTCACCGAACGCACATGCATTCAATTCTGAAAGAGAATAAAAAATCGACTTAAATACACTCGCAAATTAGAAGCAAGAATGACTCAAAGTGTGTGTGTATATGCTAGAATTGTTTGCCTATCCTATGCAAAATTCCTATATACGACGTTGCACATTGCACACACATACATGAATGCATTGTGCATATAAAACAATAAGTGTTGCTTGTATTGAATTTTACGCAATTTACACGCATTTTCGTTTTATATGCAACCGTTGCTCGTGCATAAGAACAATTTAGCTGTTTGTGTTTTGACGTATGAAATCGAGTGTAATAAGAAGGCGCTCAGCGTTCGATGAGCAAAACAGCACCGGTAAGGATGTGCCTCACTCTCGATTCCAACAGTAAATAATTATTATTATGTATGGAAGTGTGTATGAGTTTGTATGCATACAACAGTTTATTGAACTTTCGTTCATAATGCCATATAAAATGAATTACCCGGGCTGTTTTCTATGCATAAAACATGTATAAGAGAAAAAAGGGAATCGAATGCATTCTGAGTTCACTGACCTAACACAATAAACTGTTGAATGTACGCTTGTTGGCCATTATTTCCTTTCATTCAAAAACAAGTGGAAAACCATTTTGCCCGAAAGCCACAACGGTTCATCAATATATAAGTGGTTTCGTTTCCACTTCAAGTGCATTAAGATTTTTCATTCAATTAACATTTTTTCTTCATTGAAAATAATTTCTTTTTTTTCTTATACGAAAATAATACCAAACGGAATCGATAATTTTTTTTTCTTAAAAAATGCCTATTTTGCTGAGCATGTTTTAAATTAAAATTTTATATTTTAAATAATCTTGTCATTTATCGAATTAATTGAAGTTACTTATGATAATCATTTTTAGCGGTCAAAATTAGGTCAGGATAGCACAACCAGAAAGTAATACAGAATATGGCTTGATAAAAAGCCCATTCCAAAATAAATTGAGTTGCTTTGATCTCAAAAATACTCAGTTCTTGACTTGTTGTTTTTAGCGCCAATTTGCGATTGTATTTTACAACAAACAAAGCGATACTATCAAACAGAATATAGTACATTAATCAGCGCGTGACATCGTTTTACTTGGTTCATCGTACATACTCTTCTCTCTTGTTTGTGCTATGTGTGTATGTCGATTAGTTTCAATTGATAACTTGACGGCTGTGTTCGTGATGTATTCATTACTTGTCAATGTATGCGATGCTGTCAGAATGTAGTCGCGTCCGTAATGAATCGAATGAATAAACGAAGCGACACAGAAATGTTTTGTTTGTATTTTGATTGTAATGTCAACTTCGCTGTACTAAATACGGCCCGTTGTTTTTTCAGTCATGAAGTTTCATATAAAACGAAAACACACTGAAATTTTATTCCTTGTCTGATTGTCAAAAGTTTCACAACAACATTTTATCAAACAATTTCAAGTTTTGCATTTTTTGTGTTTCAAAAATGGTGAAAGTGCCGAGCATTTCTATGAATAATGGCTTGAGTATGCCGGGATTTGGTTTGGGAACTTATGAGGTAAGTATTTTATTTAAATAAATACATTTTGAGGAAGAAAAAACTTTCATTTGAAATAGTAATAAATCGAAGATATTTTATTTTCGATTACATTGAAATTGTTGACAATAATGTTTTCAACTCTATTCGTGAAAAATTGTTCAAATTTCATAGAAATTCTTAAATAATTTTGTCTGTTGAAATTCATTATAGAAGTTGAAATAAAAAAAAAATGGTTTTCGATTTTGATAACATATACTTTATCTTGTTTATATATACAATTGTCATACGTCAAAATATGTGTTTAAAAATAATTATTATATTATCATTATCATATTTTAACTTCTCAGTCTTTTGGGGAAGCTGGAAGAGCTACAAAGCACGCAATTGATGTTGGTTATCGACATTTCGATACTGCACGTTTGTATGAGAATGAAGAGGAAGTTGGAAAGGCCATTCAAGAAAAAATCAAAGAAGGTGTTGTAAAACGTGAAGAAATTTTTATTGTTACCAAATTGTGGAATACCGACCATGAACCGGAAAAGGTTGAAAAAGCATGCCGAAAGAGCTGTGAGAAACTTGGCCTGGGATATATTGATTTGTATTTAATGCATTGGCCAGTTGCATTCACAGAACGTACTCCTTATGAATATTGGCCATTGAATGACGACGGTCAATATGATAATGCGTAAGCGATGAACTATATTAAAATTTTGTTCGTATTATCTTTATCTCTCAAATTTACAGTGACGTTGATTTTCTGGACACATGGAAGTCAATGGAGAAACTTGTCGACCTGGGACTCGTCAAAAGTATTGGAATAAGTAATTTCAATAGTCAACAAATTAAACGCTTATTGGCAAACTGTCGCATTAAACCTGTAAACAATCAGGTAATCAAAATGGATAAGTTTTCATTTTCAAAATAACAACCATTCTATGAT